ACACACACACACACACACACACACACACACACACACACGTGCGCAGAGCGGTCTCCTGTACTAGGCTAGTTTTCATTTTCAAATGTCATTTAATGAAATCGATTTTTCTCTCCCTCGGTCTGTAGCCTTGTGCCTTTCTCAGATATTGCCAGATAGCAAAGGCCCCTCTCTAGGGGGACCCATGGTACTTGGATCTGCTGGTTTTTCCTTTGTAGACTTCTCGACAGACAGATTCAGACCGTATCCATCCTGTAAATGTGGCAACAAGGTGCACTCCTCACAGCCTCAGGGCAGATGATGCGATGCGTTCTGGTTCCGTGATCACCCAGCTCACTACTGAGGCAGCACGGGCAACAGCGAGGTCACTTCTCGAGTCTGCTTGCCTGTTTGCTGTAAGTACCCATGGGAACGCATTCATCTCTAGCTTGCATCGCCTATGCTTCTCATGGCGCCTCAGCTTACTGTTTCTAAGCCTCATTATTTGCATTGGCATCACAGGAGATGGAACCCAGGGTCTGCCATATGCTAGGCAAGCACCGTTTCACTGAGCCACACACACTCCCCTCTCCAACCCACACCTGTATCAATTGCAATGATGTAAGGTGGCCTCCTAACCCGTGAGACTTGTCATAAAGTACACAGTAGTTCTAACCAGTTTTAGAACGCCTCTTTAGTTACATTATCAGTTCAAGTAGCTTACATTTTATCAACATAAGACACAACAGATGGAATTGCAAGAGGCAACACATAAGCTATTAATACCAAACTTTTGTGCTTAAGCCAAAGCATCATTATGCACTTCTTCTCTGACCAAATAACGGTGTTTTCTTTCCAGCAAGTCTGAAGGGCACAGCCAGGAGCACTAACGGAAGAGGGCTTCGGAGTAAGCGAGGGCTTTAGAAACATTCTCCTCTGGAATACAGAGAATGCAGTTACCAGACACGGGTTTCACCTTCGCAACCCGCACTGGGTGAAATTCGTGCCATTGTACAGACCAGTCTCCATAGAATGTCTCCCTTCTGAGGGGCAGCCTAGCAGTTTCGTGCAGAACAAGAATCAGTCACGTTTTCTCCCCTATGCCATGCTCAGGCACTGCTTTGGTGGTTTTTCCCCCCGTTCTTCTGGAAATGAAAACCACACATTCTTTTCTGGGACACTGAAATATTTCAAAAGGAGGAATCATATTTTAAAAAGATACTTGACATGGAGACCCTACACCAGTGACTTGGAAACCAACCTGAGTTGGACACATTTTGCGTTCAGTATCAGGAATGCATCCTCATGTTCCTATGTTAACATGAACTGGACACCCAACTTGAAAGAAAATCATAAGAAAAGGTCACTGAAATTGCAGCAAAATACCAAAATAGCAAAAAATACAATTGCCCATTAAGCTCTTACTGAAAATATAGACAGAAAAGCCAAAAAGACTGCTTTGTGTGAAAGCGATTGCTTTTTATAAACAAGAGAGAAGGAGCGCCTAGGTCATCATGTCGGAGATTGTCCTCTCTGCTGTAGGCTGAAGAAATGAGCCTCCTTCAAGATCTGGTTAATGTGAGAGTAAGGACCTTGGCCCCAGCACAGTGCATTGTCCTCGTGGGAGAACTCAAGGATATTGGAGTTAAGTTCAGCAATGTTCTGGTTTAAGCTGCTTTCTGGTACATTTTCTCGCTTGGGGTTATTGATGTTGCTGTGGTTCCTTTCATTAGCACTCCTTGATGACTGGAAGGAGAAAGACAGAAGGGGGATCGCTATTACGATACTGTCATCATTTTCCTGTTCAGTTTGAATACCAGCATCAAACTCACAAAAGACTTCACAGTTTGTAAAGCACAATCACTTAAGCTTGTTCATCCCCTCCTAACAACAGTGTTATTAATGAAGCTGGGGTTTATAGTCCCCACATTACAGAACAGCAAACATATCCGATGTGCCCCAAAAGTCCCCTTGCTAAGAAGTGTCAGGGACTGAACTCAAACACGGGTTCTCTTACTCCCAGTCACCCCATGTCTTCAGCTCCTGTTTATACCATTTGTTCCAATTACCTGCATCAGGGAAGGAAGTTCTTGTCATCCAGGAGAAAAGAGGAGCCACTGCTACAGAATGTAGTAGGGATTAGGACCAAAACAAGTAATATGGGATGCGGGTGCAAGTGTGGCAAAGAGATTATTGGGATCCTACTCTGCTCACACCTACCTGCACACAAACAGACGCGGACACAGACACGGACACAGACACACACACACACACACACACACACACACAC